TATATATATATATATATACCAGGGATTGAACTCAGGACCCTGAGCTTGCCAGGCAAGCACTTAATCTACTGAGCTATCTCCCTGGCCCTCATTTTCATGATTCAGTCTCAGGCTTGAGCACAGTGTGGTTCCTTGTGGGTGTGTGAGGCTCCCTACAAAGAACACACAATTGCAATTTGTCACATGTTTCTCTGAATGAAGCAAAGGCAGTCCTTGCCCTGTGGTACTCAACTGACCCACTGGGAATTTTAGACTCGGAAACAAACTCATTTTAATCTGAAGTCCTTGCTTTTGTGTCATTGTGCTTTTTTTTTTCTTGTGTCATTAAGTTAAACTTTTGCATTGAAATAACTTTTTTTCAAAATGTAATTATAGCCCAAAAGTGGGAAAGAGAAACATTTGTTTATAATTTCTAGTCCTTTCTACCATTTAGAAGTTAACATTTCCTTAGCTTCTAAAGAAATAACAACACTGAACAAAGTAATGACTTATAGAATCACTACAAAACATGTCAGGTAGTGTGGCTTTCAAACTTATTTTTCAAAATATTTTTGGAATTCTAAACATTGAAGCTCATTATTCTGTACCCAATTATCATTTCCACTCCTTTAACTACTGATAATGGGGCAGATGTCATTCCTGTGCTTTAAAAGCAAAAACAGTCTATTTAATGAAGCAAGAGGGGAGGACTCAACTCTCATGCTGTAGGTGAAGCCACTGAACCCCCTGCAGATTAAGTAAGTTGTCAACAGTCACACTTCAGGCTCTGAATCCAGGAGTGGAGTGAGGCTTTGTGGATTCAGACACTTTGCTTCTTATCATCTGGTTGGTTCTAAATAAAGCACTAGTCATGAAAGACTTAGGGTAAACAGGAAGCACTACCTTGAGTCATTTTGTTTCTAAGCATGCCTATGAATATTTTGTCCTGTTAATGTATAACTTTACAAAAAATCAATTCATGCTTCTCTGGGGCTTCAGCCATGCTGAGGATATCCTACCAGTGTTGCTGAGTGTTATTTTTCTTTAACAGGAGACGTCTAAGAAATTCTATTATAAAGAGGTAGATCCCTCTCAAGTCCTTTCTGAAGCAAAATTGCCTGGCTGTTGGTTCAACTTTGTGTTTTAAAATGTAGACTGCATATATTGTGGTAAATTACTCTGAAGGTATTTCTATCCAAGGCCACTTGGGTATTTTCATTTTATTTATATGCTTAGCTATGTATTTCACTCTAATAGTGGATTTTACAGTACTTTGAAGTGCTGGTAATTTATTAACCTTGGAAGTAAATGAAAGAACTGTCTATGCCACTAATATAAAATGTCTTATTTGTGAAACTGAAAAAGTAAAAGAAAACTGATTAAAACTGAAAATGTAAAATTCAAATGTACACAATTGTAGAATTATTAATAAAGTGAACCTTTCTGTTTCTTTTTATTGCTTGTGTTTAAGTTAAGCAAAGATAAAGCAAAGAGACAGAGAGGCAGCTTGGCCCTGTAAGTGCCCACTTGGCAAGTGTAAGGACCAGAGTTTGATCCCAGGTACTATATACCATGCTGGCCCCATGCCAAGCCGGCCACGGAAATTAGGCATGGTGGCTCACACCTGTAATCCCAGCACTGGGGAGGCTGAGACAGGAGGAGCACTGTGAGTCTGAGCTGCATAGTGAGACTCTGTATCAAATAAATAATTAATTAAAAAGAAAACAAACACAATAAATACACATAATTAGAATATAGTCCAATTTTAAAAATTTATTTTCTTTCACTACATCCCTGAAGGTCATATTCCAAATAAGATTTAATACAAGTAATAGTGATATAATAATAATAATAATAATAATAATAATCATCATCATCATCATCATCATCAGAATTTGTTGTGATCTACTTTTTCTTTTGTTTTTTTAAACGTATTTGGTACAGGGTCTCACTATGCAGCTTGAACTTGTAGTGTGCCTAATCCTCCTGTTTTCAGCCTTCCCAGTGCTGGGATAATGGGCATGCATCACCATGCCTGCACTCAGTGGTCAGCTCAATGCCCCCAAAGGTGGGGCTGGCCTGTCATGTGGTGCCAGAGATCTACCCTCAATCCCTGCACTTACCTAAGCAGGTGCATCATCCACTGAGCATTTGGCTGGCCCTTGTGATTATTCTTCACCTTTGCTTTCCTCCAACAGTATTGCAAAACATAGATAATTGCAAAAATAACAGTTTAAAGAACTAATTTCATTACCTATCAGGAGTATGAACAAAACTACACACTTCAGCCTGCTAAGTTTCATTTTTGTCTCAGTTTCATCTCAAATGAAATTGAGTAATAAAATCATGGCCCTTTTAGGGCTCCTGTAAGACCTGTTTTTCCCTGTAATATCTTGCTTTCGACTGATATAACTTTATTCTTGCTTTTTCTTTCCTCTGCTGGAAGAAAGCAAACTCCCTGGTAGCTCCTGTGAAACCCTCCCATTAAGTTTGAGCTTAGAAGCTGATTCCCTTCATTATTCCTCTAAGTGGTGCTGAAAGTTCTCAAAATCACAGAGACTCCCTACAAATTAAGTTTGATCCATATAAATCTGTTATGAAGAGGCTGTGGAAGGATCTGCACATGTTTCTTGAAAAGTCTGCATATGAACTTTTGGAACATTACAATGTCAATTGATCTTAGTGTATAATTGAAATATTTTACAATCACCAAAAGCAATGATCTACATGACTGACAAGAAAAGGAGATAAGAAATGACTTTCTTTTGTGTGTGTTTGGTGTGAATGCACAACATTGCATTGCCTTGTTCACGTTAATCATCCGACTCAATCATCATTTTTCAGGTATTTGGAAATAGCTGTCTCAGTATATAGAGAAGGAAAGTTTCAAAGAGCCAATTCTTGCAGTCAAATGGACATCGTGGAAATAGAACTATCTAACTGAAAATATCATCTTCTGGTCATAAAAAGTTAGCTGAAGAGTTCCTATCACATTTCTCAAATTGATATATTCTATTTATAAACTTGAATGTGTAAATGTTGAAAGTAATTTCTCAATCAATAATTTTGACAGGTGCAGGATCGATATACTGGGCTGGATATTAAACTGTATGCTTAATTTTTTTTCTAGACCATAGATTTTGAAGGTTTCAAGCTGTTTATGAAGACGTTCCTGGAAGCTGAGCTCCCTGATGACTTCACTGCACACCTTTTCCTGTCATTTAGCAACAAGTTTCCTCATTCTAGTCCAATGGTGAAGAGTAAGCCTGCGCTCCTCTCAGGTGGTAAGTTTACCTATTTCAAATAGTTATGGAGACCAGAGAGATAGCTCTGCAGAATAAGTGCCTGCCTGACAAGTGAATGGTTCTGAGTTCAATCCTCAGGACAAAAAATTAAAAATTAAAACAAGAAAATCCAAAAAATAGAAAGTCATAGAGAATAAAACTTCCAAAAGCTAATCAGTATCAGGTGCTCATGAAACAAAAATGACAACTTGATGAGAAATTTTCCTGTTGCAAAATTCATACTTCCACACTGTGATTTTGTAAATCCTGTAAAATGCCTTCAATATAGCAATAAGTAAAATTATAAATAATGTAGTTTCTCTTTATTTATTATTTGCCTTTTTTCATTTTAGGTCATAATTTTCAGAAATTATCCATTAAATTTGGAGAAGTTTTATTTTTGTGGAAAGTATTATTTTTAAATGATTGGAGAAAGAGAGGTACAGTATTTGTATATACTTGTATATTTGTAAATGTAATCACAAAGTAGTTATGCAAAGAAGATTTATTCGGAATCAGTTATGGTCAGAACAAAGTTTTGAATTTTCTCATAAATAATTACATTTTTTTTAAAACAGACTAACATGCCTGCAAGCAGATGCAGGTCCCGGGGTTCAATTGCCAGGCCTGCCATGCCGTCCCCATCCCCAGGGTGTGCTGAGATGGCAACTAAGACTGAGCATGGTGGCACGCACCTGTAATCTTAGCTCTTGGGAGGCTGATCACTATGAGCCCGATCTGTGTAGTGAGACCCTGTAGACCTTGTATGAAGTACATAAAAAAGAAAATCCTGAATCCTCGACATAGGACCTCTCAGAGCAGGGACACAGTTCTAAATATGGGCAGATAGGTGAGGGCCTGGCATTTTCATGGTGGAAGTACTTCCCAGTGGGATTTTATAGATCACATCTTCTAAGACAGACATAGGACCCAAGACCTGAGAATGCTCTTGAGGATACTGCACAGTCACCTGCAGGCCACCATGCAGCAGGAAGCTTGTGATGTTGCAATGAGTGAGGTGAAGGTGAAGACCAGAGCCTGATATAATGAAATGGGCAGTGGAGAGGAAGTGCTGAGGGGATTCCACCAGAGGAGCTGTTGACAGGAATTTGCCCACCCATTCCTCCTGCTTCTACCTCTGCCTGTGAACCCCTGGGCCCAACAGGAATTCAGAAGACAATAGCACAGTGAAGGCTTACAGCATTGTTTCTCCCTCTTGGACATCCGCAATATTTTGAAGTCTTAAAACATACTAAACATGCAAAAGAACTTCATATGTGTGGTATCTATGAATACAAACTGCATTAATGGAAAGAGATCTAGAAACAGCTAGAGTTGACACATGATAATACTGATAAAAATAAACTATTTTATAACAATAACCTCAAAAGATAGGTACAAATAGATGTTTATATGTATACATATGCATTACACAGCTGTGTTTCATTTGACTTGGTGTATCTAATGACCTACCTGGCATTTATGAAATGGATGAGTTATTTTGTGACATGCTTTCTCACTCTATAAGATCCTCTTATCACCTATTTAGATATAAGATGATATTGTACTGATTATATGCTGAACTTTTGATATTTAAAGACATCTCTATGAAGCATCATGCCTTTATAAGTTTTTTGAACCTCTTCTGTCTCATTTAAATACCAGATTTATAATGTCACTATTCTGTCAGGCCAGTGACCAATTTCTGCTCTTTTTCCATCTTAAAAGTTTATTATATGAATCTCTCCCTTTATAGTTATTTTAAATCAGACAGAACACTTCATTTTCTGCCAATGACTCATACCCTCCCAACCATGCCTGGCATTGTGATCTTCTATTCCAGTCACTACAACTTGAATGCTGAGTAAAACCAGAGACAGTTTTTGTGCATATGCAAATTGCAGCCACCACTTATTTACCTTAAACATCATTTCTGTAAATGTTGTTTATTACTATTGTGTTCTCTTACATCAATTTTCTTAGCATTTTCATTAAAAAATACTTGAAATGTTTCTGTCAGTTCCAAAACATTTTCCCCACATCATGTAAAAGGCACTGTCAGGCATAACATTCCCAAACAACTCCTGAAACAACCCAGAAGGGTTTCTCCAGCTGACCAAGAATGCATATTTATTATGGAGCTTGCTCTCTGCATGTCCCATAAGATATCAAAGCGACTATGTCTGAAAGCTAATTATATCCTACCCAAACCTGCTACTATTCTTGTCTTCTCTCTTGGTGGATGGCACCCAGATGTCTATACTTCCACCAACACTATGATATCAAACTCTTTCTACCCTCCCCTGCCTTACTCCTTCTTATATTAGTTAGCTACACTGTCTGTTACTCACTGTGACTACTGTCAACAATTCCTTTTTCCAAGATCATAGTTTGACTCATCTTTGTGTCTTGGTCTATCAGTGTGGCTCCCAGCTGAGCTCTGATTTTCATCAGCAAAATATTCTTTCTTACAGAAACTTCATGATAGTAATTCTGGAATCCCATGTTTCATGTCTCCCCACTCAATCTCTACTGTAGTATTTTTATATTAAACTATTATTTTTCAAACGATTAAATGCTTGATGTTGGAAACCTTTAGAGCTGCTTCAGTGAAGGAAGTGTGTAAAAAGGGGGTATGAACACATGGAGCTCTGGTCACTCATATTTTAAGACTCTCTCAGTACTCTTCTCTCTTTGCTGGAACAAAGTAGCAAACACCCAGCACTAAGGAAGGAGAAGATTATTTAGCTCGCAGTTAGTGGAGGTTTCAGTCCATAAACAACTGGCTCCAAGGCAGAGGAAAGCTTTTTATGGCATTGCAAATAGCAAAAAAAAAAACAAAGCGAGGAGCAGCAGCTGCAGCAGCTAGCAATCCTCTCTCCCTTCCTTACATTTGTATGCAGACTATCTGCCCCAGGGCAGGTGTAGTACTCATGCCCATAATCCCAGTGTTAGACCATGAATTAATTAACAAACTCTAGAAGCTCCCCCATGACTGCTTGATGCATTGAGGCAACAACAAGACACAAACCATGACAAAGACACTATCTTCTGATATTACCTTAATGACAGTGCAGAGTTGACAATACATTTTAGATAACAGACATTCCTATACATTTTAGATAACAAAATTAGATTCAACAGCATGCAACACAGTGGCATGCATAGAGATTGTCAATTCCCGTACTTCTCTACCTCCTTGCCCAGTATATTCAAGAATTATCTCACATTAAGCTGCCTCCTGTGGTTGAAAAATTCTGTTTCTTTCAGAGTAACTATAGCATGATGCTTCCTCTCCCTTTGTCACTATAGCAAAAGTCAACTCCTCCTTAGAAACTTATTAAAGTTTCATTCTAAATCTCTTGGTCTGGGTTCCACACTAGAAAGTATTGATCTCTGAAGATGACATACCTAGAGAAAGCCACTTGTTAGAAGGACTAGTAAGAAATCTGCCTCTGTCCACACCACCCAGCCTAGGCTAGCACCACACAGATACTCTTGAAACTAGCAGAGGTCTTTTCAGGATTTGGAGGAAGTTCAGCTTACTAGAAGCTCTGAGAGATCTGGCTGTATGCCTTGAAGTCTGATGGGCTGTTGCAGATGCAGTAAATGAAGAAGAATATCAGAAAAGACACAAGTAATGAAGACCATGGGGGGTGAGATCTGCCTGTCATGCTAAGAACTTCATCCAGGAGAAAATAGAAATCCATTACATAATTTTAAGCAAAAACAAAATCACACTACCAGTGAGGTGGAGACTATCATGAAGACAAATAAAATTGAGGAATATAAAGCTCTAAAGATATATGAGATTTAGAATAGTAAGTCTCTTTGAAAAAAAGTTAAGGCATCATTTCTGTAGATCTCAACCCATTGAATGGGGTAATACTCAACTGATGTGTGCTGCTATGCAATGTACTTCAATAAGTACATTGTACTTCGACATCAACAGTAGATTTTAGCTGATTCCATGTGTTCTGTAAAATCATTTTCTCCACATTACTAATTTATGCCAAATGGTGAAATGATATCTCTTTCACATACAAAGAGGTTAATAGATTAAGAGCAACAGCAACAAAAAAGTTTTGTAAGGAAAATGAGATACTTGAATCTTTGGGAAAAAATTATTTCTTGAAGGCTTTGCCACCTTATGTTCTTACCAAGAGATGCACTTTGTTATTTAATTGTGATGAGAAGAAACATATGCTTATAAAATTCTCGTCAGGAGATGTGTGTGTGTTGCTGAAGGGTACTTAAATTTAATTTTTTTCGGTGAAGCAACGTCAGTTTTTATAATATAAACAAAAGTAATAGTAGTCATGCTTGGAATGCCTGTCATTCTGGCCTTCTAAATACATACTACTTGTCATGACATACCCATTACTGCTATACTGTCTCTTCAAGTAAATGTTTGTTTTTAAAAAAGAGTAGTAAATGAAAACAAGAGATAAGAAATAAAAAAGGTCACAGGACTGTCCTTCTACAATGCTACATATGATTATATTTCTAAATTTCTGTGTAAAAATATTTAATTGTTTATTTCTATTTTTAAATGTTTTTATATTTTTAATTTTAATTTTTATTCATATTCTAAAGGGACCCAAAGTTTAACATATCAATGCTTGATGGAAAATATCTGTTCCATGATATGCCTAAGATGTTTGATATTCAGACAGATAGTAAGGTTAAGCTCAACTGCATATGTTGTAGGGTAATAATAATAATCTTCTCTTCTGGAGAGTTAACAACCTAAGTTTACAGACCAAAAATTAGAGAAAAAGAAGGACTACAAGAATAGCCAACATTTTGGACCTAGCCTGTCAAGATCAGTGAAGACTCAGGACATAGGAGAACCTGTACTGTAATATCATGCAACTCGGTTGTGTCTCCTTGTGATCAAGGAGATTATGGGGTCACAGAGGAAAGTGATTGATGATGTAGAGTATGCATAAGGAGAGTCACATGGAGAGAAAGCATTCTCTCAGGCTTTCACAGAGAGC